ATAAGGAAAGGAGTGTAATAAATATGAAGCGGGTGTAAATATACAAAAGTGTCGAAGGTGTGGGATTAAAATGTTTAATGTAATTTTTTTTTGTAAAAATATCATTTAATATTTTAATTGTTATAATTGTTTATTTAATATTTTAATTGTTAACTAATAAATAATTTATATTACAAAAATTAATATAATAAAATGATGTAATGAATTTATTTATTTATTTAAAAAAAATAAAAAAAATTTAATAATTCTAAAACATTAATCAAATAATAAAATCTATTCCCAATTACGCATTCGTTAAAGTATTTATAGCTCCCTCAACAAGTAAATCTACATTACTACAATCTACACTCTCATCTAAAAAAAGCATTCATCACTGGTATCGTCATTGACTTCAATAGTTTCTTCAGAATTCTTAGGTTTTGCCTTCCTATCCGATGATTCTAGTGTTTTTTGAAAGGCCTTACAATTCTTCTTGATTCCACTTATGAGGTAATCAACACAATATTGATATCAGCTTCCTAATTTAAATAAAAAACATTCAAAATGATAAGCATGACCACAAATTAGAATGCAACCTACTTCACAAGAATCCACGCAGCCTTCTAAGTCACAAAATCGATCATTATATAGAATATGTGTTGTATTTCAAGCCATTGGTAATATATCCAAACCGACTTGAGTTTTTAGTGTTGGAAATTCATATGCTTCTGGCTTCGAGTGTGTTTCGGATGGAATAATTTTTGACTTACCAATGTTCCTATAAACATTTACAAAAAAATTTAGTAAAAAAAGTGAAGTACGCTTTTCAAGATATTCCAATTGCTTCTGTGAATATCTAATGTTATAATTTTTGGAAAATGCATTCGTAAAGGAATTGTTTCCGTGTATTTGATCGATTATTCGTGCTTCTTGAATAATCTATTCTACTGTGTTTGATTCATATATCTGTCGCCGAAGTGAGCTATGAAAATTCTCAACATAATAATCATTAAATACGTGGATAGAACCTGTAAGAGTTTGTATAATAGAGTGATTAGTACTGAACTAGTAAAAAACATCACTCAAAAACATCAACGGTAGTTTATTATAGTGTCTTCGTTAGTATCAATAAAAACTGTCTAGATGCGAAACATTGCTTCTATATATGCTTCCCAATTTCCGCTGCGAAATATAATAGAATAGAAATCTAAAACCAACAGTACAATATTGTCTAATAAATTAATGAGATATCGGGCTTCAGGGTCTTTAGAACATTTGAATTTTTGTATTACTATAGAACGAACTCGAGACCATCCCTGGTATGTTAATTCCAAAAGTAAATTAATTTTATAAAGTTTTGGCTTTTTTGCCAGTACCTTATTACGTCCAAAAACTGCATGAAAACTTAAATCAAAAAATTTGTAATTTAGAAGAAAAATGGTCTCACAACTATTCAAGGATATATGTAAAGATCCAATTATCGGAATGACATGTAAAATCTGTTTCGGTATTCCAGAAGAATCTCCAAATTTAAGGAGATGAGTAATAGCACGCCATACATAAAGTTGTCCAGGATAATCTATAGGCGCTACTAAAACTTGTGTCTTCATATATGCATCTGCTTCAGAAACATCTATTAAAGATGTAAGCGCATTTATATAATCTTCTGTTGAATAAAAAGATCCTTTCTTTAAATCAACAAGTTTCGTATTTTCTATGCTTCGATCTATTTGGCGTTGCTCAATACGATTATCATAGGTGTGAATTAGGAGATATTCGAGTTGTTCATCATGAGTTTCTTGTACAAGCAGATCATTAAATACATTTTTTCGCCCTGTATAACTTAGCCATAAATGAGAGAAAAAAAGTGTGTTAGCTTTCTCAATAATGATACCTGAATCGATATCCTTGTTATTGTGGATACTCTTTTCTTGGTGAGGATTATTAAATGAAATTGATGGCTTTTCAGATAATACTTTTAAGAGTATCATAGTAAAATGAGCAATATCATACGTACTGGTTGTATCACTACAACAAGATTCATGAATATTATGAAAATCATCGACATTTAGAACAACCAGACTTTCGACCTATAAAAAAAATAAATTATAATAAAAAAATAAAAATATAATTTATTATAATAATAAATAAATAAATAAATAGAAAAGTAAAATTATAGTTATGTAATTATATTCTTAGCTAAAAATGCTCCCACTATTTCTATATGTGCTTGTACATGTCGGGCCTTCTGTCTTGCAATCGTTTCACGTCTAACTGTTAAGCCTGCACCAGCCAAGGTTTCAATTGCTGACGAAGATGCTCCAGACGCATCTAACAGAAGCCCAACTTCTGCCTTAACACTATTAATAAATTTATTGTTAAGACCTGCAAGAAAATAGCAAAATAAAACCAATCTTTTTTGGTTTTTTTTATTAGTCATATGGCTCTTGGCTTGCGGATTCGTTCCAGCCACCAATTGATCAAAAAACTCTCTTAATGATAGCTTAGAATCCTCAAGCATTTGTTTAAATTTTTCAGGATCAAGAATGGGCCTTTCGTTATACACATGCTGTCATGTGTATAACACTCCTGCCATTAATTTGATTTTCTTACTCAAAAGAATTTGTTCTAAAAAAAGGTAAGAATGAATAAAAGAACAATCAAGAATGCATTAATGATAAAAACTGTTTACTCACCTAATTTCACTTCATCAAGCTCTGCACATACTTCATAGTAAGCAGATTCCAATTCCTGAAATTGTGTTTCAGAGTAAATAACGTCTCCACGTAAAACATATGACCTATCGTGAAGCTGCCTTATGCTTTTTTTATCCTTTGGAATCGCTGGTGGATAATCGGGCAAATTGACGTATTCAGAATCGATATCTGTTCTATATAAGCAATGACGACATATCATTACTTCTTTTGGTAGGCCAAAAATCTAATTAACCATTCCGGAGCCTTTGCGAATTTATTTTCTTCTGTTTTTCAAGGGATAGCTAAATAAATTTCATGTTTTGGATGAGAACAAAAGTTAGTTAGTTTAGTCTTCTTTTTCTTTGCATTTACAATATATTTATTGTAATGTTTTTGGCATAAGGCTTTGTTAACTAAATCCAAATGTTGGCTTGAGGCAGGTATAACTATTTGATCTGTGACGGTTGAAGCACCATGGAGATCGTAATCGCAAACAACGTTATCAAGACCCTCCAAATCGCAGTAACGAGCCTTTCTTTTTCCTTTTTTCACATTAGGGTTGGTTTCGTAACATTTTTCTTGTGCAGACATTTTTTTATTTTTCTTACTACAGTACTAGTGCTATATTAACGATAGGTGATCGAAGTTTGATGAACAAATTTTTTTTCGTCACCAATATGGTTACACAAACCTCCTATTTTATTAACCAATAAAATTCATGAAGATCACGAAATGATCTACAAAATATTAACCAATCACAGAGAAAGCCCGCTATGCTGGTGATCATAACAATAAACGAATTCTATAATTGGATAGTGTAAACGACACATATTAAGAATTCATAATTAACGAAATTAACTTTTATTTATTATCGATACTTTTATTAGTATAATAGAAAATACAAGTAAGAACTACAAATAAGAAATGCGAAACTTTATAATAATTCATAGAGCGATATGGTTATGTTAAACTTAGATGGTCCTCCAGCTTGATCATTTACTTTTGCAAACATATTCACTAATATATATTCGATGCAGGGGCGGGTGCCGGACATAGGCTAAATTCTTAAGAGTAAGGCTTTAAGATCTTCCGCTCTTCTCCTCTTCGCTCTCACAATTATACTACTATCGTTATTTAAGCATACCAGGTGTTTATGAGTCCCTGGACAGGACCTTTTTGTTAATCACTTAAAAATTTTCGAGAAAAACGTGATCAATAAAAAGGTCCTGTACAGGGACTTATCAAACACCTGGTATAACTAATAATTACATAAAGAATTATTTTCTATTCTATAGTATATTCGACATGGCTTAATACTGCAATATCGACAAAAAAAAAAACATTCACATAGTTTTTTCTTTATTTAAAACCACCTTCCGATGTTTATTAACTCTACATTTTCTGGGCGGTTACTAACTTTTCCGATTGGTTAGTAACCACCTCTGGTAGTTCATAATTAATATTTAGCATCAGAACAATGAAATTTCAATATGTATAACTTTGTGTAATATAGTATGTGAAAAAAAACCGGTTATGACATGTTATGACATGTATTCTACCGCTGGCAATTTTTAGTTTGCATCACATTTTAATTGTAGAACATATACATGCATACTTTAATCACAAAAATATATAATTTTGAGATTCGTACATCATGAGATTCATACATCATGAGATTACTCAATTATTTCCCCCATCTCCATTTATACGGCCAGCCGAAATTTATCCGAATTATGAAATTTATCCGAATCTTACAAAAACTTATTCCGGAATAAATAATGATCGAGAACGTTGAAAATTGGTATTTTTTCAAACTACCATCTTCATCGCTAATAATTATCTCTAACAATTTTCTCTAAAAATTATTTCTAATAATTATCTCTAACAATAATTTATACGTAACAATTATGGTTTCATTATTTAATAAGGAAAAAAAACATGTGGATGTGTTAATTTGTGGTGCAGGTAAAAAAAAATATATATATTTTGAAATAAAAGTTTGTCAAAGAATTTGTTTTTTAATTTATTTTTTATTTGTATTTTTTTTTGGTTAAAAGGTCCCGTTGGCCTATTCTTAGCCAATGAATTGGCCGAATTCGATATCAGTTTCCGCATCATTGAAAAGGTCGAAAAGCATCCTGATTTTTCAAAGGCTCTCTTGGTAGCACCGAGAACTATGGAAATTCTTGATAATAGGTAATTTAATATTCATTTATCCGTTCTTTATTTTCAAATAACATATGTTTACTTTATTTTTTTTTTGTTTCTTTTAGGGGTCTTTTAGTTCCATTCTTGGAACATGCTGTCAAATTGAAATATTTCAATATGCACCCAAATGTTCATGATGTTCGTGATCCACTCAGGATCGACCTTGCTAGCATGAACAGTCCCTTTGCATTTGGATTAATGAACCGTCAAAATAAGACCATGGATTATTTCATTGATGCTCTACACAAAAAGCAATCAATGGGAAAGAACATTCCTAATATTGAATTCGGCACCGAACTAATAAAGTACGAAGATAAGGGTGATCATGTCATCGCTATTGTAAAAAAGCACAATGTGGAAGAAGAAATTATATGTAAATATTTAGTAGGATGTGATGGTTGTCATTCTGCCGTCAGAAAAGGA